CAGATTAATCATGGGCACATACCTATTTTATCAGTTTAAGAAATAGCTGGAAAATCCATACTTCATAACCAAAACATAATCTTATATTTGTCTATTTGCTTTTTTTTCGAGAAAACGCAAAGTGATTTTTGCGTTTCATTGCATTGAAAAGGTGAGAGAGAGTACATGCCTCCCAGGAGGTTATATTTACAGAGTCCTAGCGCCTCCGATCAATGGACATCCCAGGAGGCGGGCAAGACTACCCGCAACCCCTGTGCCCCAGCTTTTGCCCAACATTTGGCCTCGTCTTTAATCCTATCAACTAGCGCATCTATCGAGGGTCTTGCATTGTCGAAGACGCATTCATTCCTCTGTTTCCAGATCATCCAGGGGACGAGCAGTGTGATCGATTGCTGAGCTTTGTGTAGTGTAGGAGGGGTTTGTGCCTTCGCACACAGCCACCAGTCCATCAAGGTGATTTCGTTGGCTGGCGGTTGGGCAGGTATATGCGCCCAGTCCAGGATGATGTGCCAGGTCTGCTAAGCAAATGGACACGCCAGTAGCAGGTGTTGGATGGTCTCCGGGTCTTGGTCGCAAAGGAGGCACCTAGGGTGGTGCTGCAAGGTGATTTTCCAGCTATTTCCGTATGGTCCTCTAATTGTGTTAAAAAAATATTTGGCCCCATGCCAACGCACGGGCACATACCTAGTGGTCTATATAAGGATGTATCCCACTTGTAAGGAGGCAAGCAATGAAATATCTAGTTTCTACCTATGCTCTCTTCTACCTCTCTAATTCTCCAATCTTTCCCGACTACCCTTCTACTGTACCACGGTGCCTATACGGCGACGCTTGCTTCCAGCGAGTATCCCACCCTACAACCTCCATAGCCAACATCGGCTACAACATCTGGTATCATAGCCAACCACCATGGCTGACGGTACACCCGACAAGAAGACCAATCCCAATGAAGATGTCATGGCAGTATTCCCGCACTGAGCGATAAATTCACCAAGGAGTTTGCATTGCTCAATTTGCAAGTCAAGGCACTCGAAGAGAGGCCAGGTGTGCCGGGAGGAGGCGATGGCATCTTGCAGCGCCCTCCATCCTTACCCTTCTTGAACGGCAGCGGAGCAGCAGATTTGGCCACCAACCTGGTGACAACCATGACACAAACACCCAGTCTTAACACAGCAGCAACTGCCATGCCCCCAGACACCATCACACAAGATGCATGGCCTACAGACGATGTCTTCCAATTCCCAGACAGGATTTTCGTTTACACCACAAAAAATGCCACCTATGCCCCCCAAATTTGGTGTCCCGCATGTGCCACCATCGATGACTCATGCTGCAGACTTCGCGGGAGTGCCCCGATACAACAAAGTGGATTTTCCAACATTCGGTGGCAAGGATGACCTGCTAGTCTGATTGAACCGGTGCGAGCAATTTTTCTGGTTGCAACGCACTGAAGAAGGCTACAAGGCATGGCTGGTGGCCTATCACATGACAGGAGCAGCGCATGAATGGTATATCCAACTCGAGCGTGATGAAGGAACCCTGTCTTGACTTGCTTCAAGGAGCTTTGTCACCTACGGTTTGGTCCTCCAATTTGGACCAATCGACCAGGAGACTTGTGCGCTTCAAACAGACAAGGCCTGTTGCAGAATACATAGAGAGG